AATTATGACACAGTTAACTCGTATTAATAATTAATAAAAATATATAATGCATTTTGATGTTTTATTATTGATAATAATTATTATATCAATAATAAACCACATCAAGAATGAACTTTTATGAACTTTTTTCAAGACTACAAATCTTGAGATAGCATTTCACTTTGTCATACGCAACAAGCGCGCAACGTAAACATGCCTTGTGTCTCGTCTTATACTCGGCTTGGTGAAAGGGAGACGGAACATAATATGTCTGCACTCTTCCACGAGCGCACACGGACGANGGCGGTTTCGCTTGTGTGCGTTCCCCTACCACTTCGGTGCTGGCCGGCTGCTTGATCTTTCTCGACGCTTGGAATCGTGCACATAGCACGGAATAGAACCATGTCCACGTTTGTACATAGCGTACGTATCGACAAGTCGCTCGTGGACATTGCTACGTAGTTGCCAATGTGCACCACCCATGGACATGCGCTAGCTTACGGGCCGGAATAGCGATCGTAAAAACTCTTATGGGCCTGGCCACTCTCAGGCTTCTTTCTGGTATCACTGAACTATAATATGGAACGCGCCTTGCCCATATATATAATACTTCTATATTGCTAGGACGGTGCCGACCTGAAGCCCAAATGTTACGGTGCAGACAATATAGTAGCCTCTCTCTCGCGCAAGGTCTAGCTGCTTTGTGCGCATGCGGTGAACATTCAAGCACGGTTGGGCATTTCTTTTTCTCGCGTTTTTTCTCTCACTCTCCAATGCTTTGTCTCGCTCGCGCTCGCTTAGTAGACGCGCCTGCGCATAATGACGCTCGACTATCTATGTCCATATTTGGACTTCGTGCCTCTCTCTTTCTCGGGCTTCGTGCCTCTCATTGCAAAGATACGCGACTAGCCACGGTTGATTTATTTACGATCCGGAGAATGGTTTGACTTTCAATGCATGGTATGTACGTTACCGAGGATTATTTTCCGTTGATGCCCAAGCATTGGACGACGCAGCAAAGGTCAGAGTACTCCTACGTAAATTAAGTATGACAGTTCACACGAAGTATGTTAACTACATCTTGCCAAAAGAATATACAGATTTCGATTTTGCAAATACAGTAAAAAATCTTACCGACATGTTTGGGAAGAAAATATCGCGTTTTCATCAGCGATATAATTGCCTTAATGCGTCGAAATCAGATCAACTCGATTTCTTAACATATGCTGGTTTGGTTAACAAACGGTGTGAAGAGTTTCAGATCTCGACAACTACTGCAGATCAGTTTAAATGTTTATTTGTGGACTACGTTCTGCATTAGATACTGACATTGGAACCAAGTTATTACACTTAATTGATATTAAGTCAGACTCGCTTACCGTTCAAGATTTAGCCGTCGAATGTCAACGAATGGTTAATCTTAAACAAAATAATTCGATGGTGCAAAATCAAACCACAGACGTTGAGACGGTTGCTCTTGTGCAATCTAAAAATTTCCGTAAAAAAGGGAAGTTTAAAAACGGTCAGAAGGAGCAAGGTAAATTTAACAAAAACAAAAAAAATTTATCTGACAAAAACATTCGACACCTTGCTGGTTTTGCGGTAACTTACATTTCTCCAAAGACTGTACTTTTAAAACACACAAGTGTCAAAAATGTAAAGTTGTCGGTCATAGAGATGGTTATTGCGCGTCCAGTAAGAAAGTTAAACCCAAGTCTGGTGATGAAAGCTC